GAAACCAAGAGCTGGTTCTTGAAAAGATAAACACAATTGACAAACCCTTAGCCAGACTCAACAAGGAAAAAAGAGAAAGGACAAACTTAAATAGAATCATAAATGAGAGAGGAGATGTAACAACTGACAGCACAGAAATACAAAAGGATCATAAAGGAATACTACAAAAAATATATATATGTCAACAAATTAAACAAGCTAGAATAAATAAATTCCTAGAAACACAATCTTCCAAAACTGAACCAAGGAGAAACAGAAAATCTGAACAGACCAATTACAAGTAATGAAATTGAACTGATAATCAAAAAAACTACTCAAAAAGTCCAGGACCAGATAGATTCACAGGGGAATTCCACCAGACATTTAAAGAACAGTTAATACCTATTCTCAAACTATTGCAAAAAATAGAAAAGGAAGGAAAGTTTCCAAATACATGCTATCAGGCCAGCATTACCCTGATACCAAAACCAGACAAAGACACCACCAAAAGAGGGGATTACAGGCCAGTATCCCTCATAAACACAGAGGCAAAAATCCTCAACAAAATATTAACAAACTGCATACAACAACACACTGTAAAGATCATTCACCATGATCAAGTGGCATTTATTCTGGAGATGCAATTCCTATTAGAATACCAACATCATTTTTCACAAAATAGAACAAATAATCCTAAAATATGTAGGGAACCACAAAAGACCCCGAATAGCCAAAGCAATCCTGAGAAAGAACAAAGCTGGAGGTGTCACAATTTCAAGACATACTACAAAGCTGTAGTAATCAAAATGTTATGGTGCTGACACTAAAATAGAACACAGATCCAATAGTACATATAAACCCACATTTATATGGTCAGTTAATCTACAACAAGGGAGGCAAGAATATACAAAGGGGAAAAGACAGCCTCTTCAATAAATGGTGCTGGGAAAATGGGACAGCTACATGCAGAAGAATGAACTGGACCACTCTCCTACACCATACGCCAAAATACACTCAAAATTGATTAAACACCCAAACATAAAAACTGAAACCATAAAAATCCTAGAAAAGAACACGGGCAGTGATTTTTCTGACATTAGTCATAGCAACATGGTTCTAGACGTGTCTCTTGAGGCAAGGGACACAAAAGTAAAAATAAACTATTGGGACTACATCAACACAAAAAGGTTTTGCACAGGCAAAAAACCATCAAGAAAACAGAAAGACAACCTATCGAATGGGAGAAGACATTTGCAAACAATATATTTGATAAGGGATTTATATCCAAAAATATAAAGAATTTATACAACTCAACGCCAAAGGTCAAATAATCCAGTTAAAAAATGGGCAGAAGATATGAATAGCTATTTATCCAAAGAAGACATATAGGTGTTCAGCAGACAATAAAAATGCTCAACACCACTCACCATGAGGGAAATACAAATGAACCACAATAAGATATCACTTTTTACCTGTTAGAATGGCTAAAATCAAAAAGACAAGAAACAAAAACTGTTTAAGAGGATATGGAGAAAAAGGAACCCTTGTGCGCTGTTGGTGGGAATATAAATTGGTTCAACCACTGGAGAAAACAGTATAGAGGTTCCTTGAATATTAAAAATAGAAATACCATATGATCCAATAGTTATGCTATTGGGTATTTACCAAAAAACAAAAACAAAAACACGAATTTGGCTTCCTTTTGGCCATCTTCCAGTAATTTGCCAAAATGACCAACACAAAAGGAAAAAGGAGAGGCACCCGCTGTATGTTCTTTAGCCCTTTTAGAAAACATAGAGTTGTGCCTTTGGCCACATACATGCAAATCTATAAGAAATGTGATATTGTAGATATAAAGGGAATGGGCACTATTCAAAACGAATGCCCCACAAATGTGACTGTGGCAAAACTGGAAGAGTCTACAATGTTACCCAGCATGCTGCTGGCATTGTTGTAAACAAGGTAAGGGCAAGATTCTTGCCAGGAGAATAAATGTAGGTATTGAGCATATTAAGCAAAGGTATATATAGATATAGATAGGTAGATATAACAGATAGCTAGATAATGAATATACTTAGCCACAAAAAAGAGTAAGATCTTAACCATTTTTGACAACATGAATGGACCTAGAGAATATTATACTAAGTGAAAGAAGTCAGATAGAAAAACACTGTATGATTTCACTGATATGTCCACTCTAAAAAACAAACAAAAGCAGAAATAGACTCATAAATACAGAGAACAAACTGATGGTTTCCAGAGGGGAGGAGGTGGAGGGATGCACAAAACGGATGAAGGGAAGTAGGAGGTACAGGCTACTAGTTATGAAATGAATCAGTCATGAGGATAAAAGGGGATAAAGGGTACAGCATAGAGAATATAGTCAGTGGTATGATAATAGCATTGTATGGTGACAGATGGTAGCTACAGTTGTGGTGAGCAGGACATGACACACAGAGTTGTCAAATCATTGTGTTGTACACCTGAAACTAATGTAGTGTTTCAACTATAGTTCAATTAAAAAATAAAATAAAAACAGGGGTGCCTGAGTGGCTCAGTCGGTTAAGCAACCAACTCTTGATTTTGGCTCAGATCATGATCTCACAGTTGTGAGATTGAGCCCTGGAAAATACCAGAACCAGTCACAGACAAGCTAGATTGCATTCCATTCTTACCACAAAAGCAGCAACTCAGAAACTGATAATGACAGTTTGGATATTGGAAACAGCACATACCACATCTGAAGATATTAAAACACATTTTTGAAATAAATAGGAAGAGTAGGGAATTTAGATGGAGACCCATGAGGCAGTCTTTATTTCAAAAATGCTGTCAGAACTTATAATACCATCTCATGAGGGCTCTGGATATAAACCAGAGTGCCTATACTCACAGGGTTTGGACTAAAACACCACAGGACCCCCAAATATTACCCAACTGTATTTTGGACTAAGAAGTCCCTGTGGTCCAACAACAGGCACCAACCAATTGAGGGCTCACCCAGGTGCTCTGTGAGCCCTACAAAATTCAGAACCACTGACAGAAAGTAAACTAATTACACCTAAGCTACAACGGCCTATTCTGGAATGGGTAAAGCAGACCCCTGACCATAAAGTCCTAACCTGGAAACAGTATATTTCCAAGTGGGACAAACAGATTGAGGGTCAGCTTTGTGTGAACTGAGAAAATCTCCACTATGCCGATAGTGGACTTGCCAGGATTCCTGAGGGCAGGCCTATCCACGCTCCAGCAGTTGGGCAATGGGGACTGCCCTGGTCCCTGGCACCCAGTGATGTCTGCTTTATACACGGATCAGCCTCCATGACACCATCTGGAGAATGCTAGCAGCCAGTGGCCTCGAGGACTAATGATGGTCTAACCCTGACAGATTCAGGCTTGAGAAAATCAGCACAATATGCTGAATTAATGGCCATAAAACTAACTGATGAACAATCTGTTAAAGAAAATCGGAATGACCTGGATCTTTCTCAGACCCATGGGAAATAGCTGTTGGAATAGCTCTTTGGTCGGGAACGTGGTGGGGAAATGACTGGAAAATAAGAAATATGAACATATGGAGTAAGGATATGGCAGAAAATAGCACTGGCTGACGTCTTCATGTTCATCACACGTGTCTCGGCATATCAGAAAGACAAGGCTCAAGTACCAAAACTTAATGAGCAGATAGACAAACTCACCAGGAAAACTAAGAGGCCCAAATTCCCAAAATTTAACAAAAACACAATGATTCACGACTAAGGAGGAAACCAATTCAAAACACAACCATATATAAACAAGCAGAACAATGGAACATAAAACCTGAGCACACAAATATGCCAAGTGATTGGGTCATTGCATGGGCACATATCACCAAACAAATCATGCTGGGACACAAAGCACTAGGACATGATTAGGAAAATAAACATGTATATACCTACCAAATACCTCCACTTTCAAATTAAGAAATGTGGGAATTGCTGAAAGTTTAAAGTGTGAAGGTCACTAATGAATAGTCTGTGAGGTCAAAGAAGCAGCAGACCTTTCCTGATTATACAAATGATTGTATAGGATCCTTATCTGTACCAGAGAACAAATTATGCATGCACTTTGTAGACACATGGTCAGGAATAGGATTACTCTATCCTTGCAGGAAAAATGATCAGACGTCTACCATCAGAGCATTAGAAATCGGGATTGCTTGCTATGGTATCCCAATTAAATCAGGGGCCCCACTGCAAAGGAAAGCAAGTACAAGAATGGGCTAAGAACAAAGCATAGTAAGATACAAAGGACTTAACACCTACAAGCCCAACCATGTCTGGGTCAAATGAAAGGTGCAATGGCTTACTCAAGCAGAAGCTGACTAATAAGCCTGATATAAAAGCTTGGACGAAACCAATCTGGGAGGTGGCAAGATCTCTAAACCATAAATATGGAAGGAATGGAAAAACTCCTATCGCATTAATATTGCAAGCACCTCTACAGATGAGACCACTGACAGACTCCAGAATCTAAACTAGAAGGAAAACATTTAAAAAAACATAATGGTATATATATAGTACTAGGAAAATTATGGTACCTGCCATCAATACAACCTACTGGATGACTGAAGAAAAAACTACATTACATCACATTAAAGAAAATAATATGATGACTCTGAAAATGGCAGGCATAAGAACACCATCTTTATTGTATTGACACCAGATGCCTGATATTTAGCCTCACAGGATGGAGGGCGACTATGCTAGAGGGAATATAGGCAATAACGGACGTCATAATGGTAGATATCCTTGGGTGGCAAGAACAACGAGAAGGAATTAAAAATGCCAAGGAAACTATCTTTATTTTGCAGGCATGAATCCACGATGCATCTTGAACCCTACCAAGATTACTAACGGGTCAGTGCAGCATGCTGCCTGCTGCCCATACTCCATTGCCTATCGCTCCCTGTTGGATACCATAGTCATTACAGCTATGGATACTCCTCTGATGGCTCCAGCAATAGGAGCTGTGCCAGTGTTCTGAACTGTAATGCCACTTTCTGGTCCGGCACAACTCCACTGTCTGTGACATCCTCCGCATTCTCCAGAGATCACTAGTCTAGTCACCTTATTGCAACGGAGGACTCATCAACATCACCGGCATCAACCAACCCAGCCTCTGCACCCCATCCTTCGCTGTCCGCACTATCTACTCACCGGGAAAGCTTCAATCAGTAGAGACACCAAATACTTAGGGAAGCTGATGAAGCAGTGGCGACCTCCATTTTAATCTCCACAAGAACCATCAAGGATTCTGAACAACAACTCTATTAGACATTGACTTGGAGGATGAAGACTGGCCTGAACTACTAACTGGCTTTTGGTATTATAACCCAGCATACATAGTAAGGCAACCAGGTACTGAATTTTTTACTTTTATCTTATTGAATTGAGGCAGCATTGGACACATCACAGAGACTCTGAAAATAACCTGGATTTAGTTCCTGATTTGTGTGCTACCACTTTATTGTAGAAGAGCAGCTACAATACACAGAATGGGTAATTATATCCTTAAGTATAAATAGGCCAAAAATTAATCATTACACTCACAACTTATACTGTTTAACCCATATTCACCTGTTAGAAAACAATAGATATGAATGAACAATGTGAACAATAGATCTGTGGATATTATGTCCAGACTTTAAAAGCGGGGCACCTGGGTGGCTCAGTCAGTCAAGCATCTGACTTGGGCTCTGGTCAGATCTCACAGTTCACGGGTTTGAGCCCCGCGTCTGGCTCTGTGCTGACAGATGGGAGCCTGGAGTCTGCTTCAGAGTCTGTCTCTTTCTCTCTGCCCCTCCCCCACTCGCTCTCTCTTTCTCTCTCTCTCAAAAATAAACATTAAAAACAAAAGCAGAGACATATAAGAAACAGAAAACTTAGCATGTAACATATATCATCACACTATGGATTTCTTTCTCACACTATGGATTTCTACTCCAAGAATATAGGAATCTATGTTAATAAAACCTCTCCCAGTCGCACCCTACAATAATAGCCTATACCTTGAAATTGAACATGTAGGGGTTTCTAGCCAGGTACAGATACCCTAATTGTGTTCAGTTTTATTCATCTTCATTTATGCTCAATGTGCAATGGATGCCAACAACAGATTCACTAAAAGGAAGGAAACCCATTTCGTTCCTTGTTGGACTGGCAGGTTTAACTGAAGCAACAGTGGCAGTCACTTTTTCTCAATTCCAAATCCATCAAACCACATTAAATTTTCAATTTTTGGGGGCGCCTGGGTGGCTTGGTCGGTTAAGCGTCCGACTTCGGCTCAGGTCATGATCTCACAGTCTGTGAGTTGGAGCCCTGCATCGGGCTCTGTGCTGACCGCTCAGAGCCTGGAGCCTGTTTCAGATTCTGTCTCCCTCTCTCTCTGCCCCTCCCCTGTTCATTCTCTGTCTCTCTCTGTCTCAAAAATGAAAATAAAATAAAATAAAAAATAAAAATAATAAAATTTTCAATTTTTGAAATGAATCTCAAGTTAACACGCATGCAATGGCACCTTTGTCGTTATTGGGTACGTAGATGGAAACATTTGCAACGTACGACAAATAAATTTCACACAAAATAAAGCAATGGAAATTTGACATAAAGCAGCTGGAGAAAACACTAACCATAATACTAAAAAACAACATAAAACATGTTTTTCTAACTGTTAATTGTCAATGTTATAGTTGGGAATGGTTGATATATGTAGTCGTCTTCGGACAGTTATAATCTCAAGACAGTACTGGCTGCCTGAGATAACAGCCCAACCAGAAGGAAAGTAGATATCACACATCCTAATGGCTCTAATTCCTTGGGCAGCTGTCAAATTAGAATATTGGCATTTAAAGAAGGAAACATGACATTGGGTTCCCTACATTTGCTGTTTCTCAATATCAAAAGGGAGAGTGAAGGCCACAGGAGGACCCCTTATAATAGAAGGAAAATGTGTTCCTAAGGATACATTATTGGAATAGAACCAAAATACCTTTATTACTGCTGGACTTCTGGATATACCTATGGCATAAGTACCATACAGGTACCTATGACTATGGCTTTGATGCCTCCCCCACCACTTATATTTAACATGGGAAATTGGACCAAGATAGCGTGCTCTAAGCCGAAGCTCACCCGAACCTAATGGGGTCAAGGGGAAACTACAACATGACGTGATATGTAAACATACAACAGGTAATGAATGTGTCAAGAGAACAAAAAAAAATATTATTCATGGTCAATAAAAGATAAAGAGCTATGAAAGTAATCAGAAAAACGTTTCACATCGAATTTCCTCAAATTAATAAATGTAAATCATACATGAGAAAACCTAAGTAAAACCAACACATACATTCCCTAAAATAATGACAGCTGGGGTTAAAATAAAATTATTATCTAGGGTTAAAATTTTAAAAACTGCTAGGGTTATGGCAGTGGAACACGTGCTTGATAGTCCTGTGCAAGCCTGTACCCCTGCAGCGTTATAAAGATGATCTTCACTTGGAAACACATTTGTCAAGGACAATAAACTGAGTGGTGCAAGAAGCTTACCTTTTAGTTGTTGGAGATTAAATATGGTAACACGTTAAAGAGTGCTTTGTTATCCTTATATTAAAAATATTAGGAATACAGTTGTTTAAACTGCTCATGAAACTATGGTGTCAAAGAATAATACTCTCCACTTGTGACTGTGATTAATATTGTAAGTCATGTAGAATCACGGGATGGATTGATACTTTTGTTCATTTAGATTTGTACAGGAGATTAGACACTTAGTGTATGAGTGATTTGAGTCACGGGGTAGACTGTTGTGTATTGGTTTGGAAGGATTTCAAATCCACTGGTTTACAACAACGACAAAAATAAGGTTGTGCTTAGAAGTGAAGTTGCTTTGATAGAACAATGAAGTTGTACTCATGAGAACTTAGTAGCTCAGCCGCTGAGGGGCCCCCAGGGGCCTTACCATGGAAAAGATATGAAGAAGCAACGATAACAAGGGGACATTAAACTATATTTGCTGAGGGATCATGAGGACTATCTGAGAGGGTTTGGTTTGGGCAAGGCAATAATACTTCACTGATCTAAAAGGACTCTCGAGGGGTGCCTGGTTGGCTCAGTCGGTTAAACGTCCAACTCTTGATTTCAGCTCAGGTCATAATGTCATGGTTGTGAGATGGAGCCCCATGTCTGGCTCTGCTCTGCACTGGGCTGGGCTTAGAGCCTGCTTGAGATTCTCTCAGACATTCTCTCTCTCTCTCTCTCTCTCTCTCTCTCTCTCTTTCCCTCTCTGCCCCTCTCCCACATGTGCACACTCTCTCTCATGCTCTCTAAATAACTAACTAAATGGACTCTTGGAGACCTTGGGGCACTTAGCTCCTGCCTGCATAGCTCCTGCCTCCATAAACATGACTCTTTTACAGGCAGTGGTAAAAGCCATATAGTGTCCCTACAAAAATCATATTGCCCACCAACACCTAGTCCTCATTCCCTGGCAAGGTACCCTAGCAACATGGAACTTTTACTTTAGCACTGGCAGCTGGACGTCAGCTACAGTTCGCTAAGCTGTCTCTCCTGGGTACCAATTCCTGTAAAGATACACCTGAGCCATATTTGGATTTTACTCCTTTCATCTCTCCTTACCTGGAACAATAGTGTGATTAATCTAACACTGGTTTGGAGTATGTTATTTCTGTATTATCGAATGAAAAGACGTTCTCTTGTATGCTATTGGCTTGTGAAATTCGCAGAGCGAACCATTGTTAAATACATTGTTGGCAAAGACCAAATCAGTTTCTGAGTGTTATTTGCCTCCCCAAAACAGCCTTCATGGGGAATATGTGCATTTGTGTAGATTCAAGATGGGAATTAGACGCTAGGCGCCCCCAATTGCTGTTCCTATGACCCAGCCTTGCTGACACTGCCCTGTTCTAGGTCCCTGGCTACTCTGACCTGGGCTTCCAAGCATCAACAGTCTGCCCCCTGTCAGCCACCCTTGGCTACTCAGGTCCCCCCAGGCCCGTGGAGCTAGGGCTCACACCCAACTTCCTGCATTGCCTCAAGGGTGGAAGGAAAACACCCCCAAAATTGTTCTGAGGCAGCCATAGGAATAGGTGACAGTCCTCATGTGTACTTACTGTTTGCTGGGGTCCTAGATTTCTGCAGCAATCAAGGATCCCAGGGATCTCTTATCGGAAGCTACCTCAGCCAGTCTGCCCCATCCAACCCTGATCAGGCATTCCAGATTCCTCCAGCTCTGCCTTCAGGGGGAATATGGATTATGTGTAGGGCTTGGAATTAGGAATATGCCAGTTATACCCAAAAGCCTCCCCCTGTGACCCAGACTTACCCAACTTTGTCCATGTCTACCCGGGCCTGCACAGCTCACACATGTATAGTAGTACGCACCCTGTCAGCTTTAAACCAGTAAAAGACTGGCCCTGTTTGCACTGGTTGCCTAATGGAGTCTCTAGCAATCACGGCTTTGAGCTGTCACTTACTGGAGAGTACCTTAGCTATTTCACCTGCTCTGCCCTGGCAGGGCAGTCCAGATTTTTCCAGCTCTACTTTCACGGGGAATATGTACATTTGCATAGCCTAAGGTGTGGAATCAGGCAAACACCAGGTGCCTTCAATAGCCTCCACGTATGAGCCAGCCTCACAGGTCACCTGTCGTGTCCCAGGTTCCCAGCTGCCCTGAACCATGCAGCCTGCGCATGCGCAGTTCACACCCCTAAGCCAGTCCACCAAGCTTGTGAAATTTTTGCCGGACGCCAATCACCGGCACAGCCGCCAGCATGAAGGGAGCCCACCTTCTGAAAACTGCTCTGAGCTGAAAGCTGCAAATGGGCCATAACTAGTCACCATGTGAACTGAACCAGGACCCCCCATGTATCTAACGGAGGATATCCTGACTCCTGCCGGCCCAGCCCCTCCTGGCAAAGCAGTTGGAAAACCTCCAGCTCTGCCTTTGGAGAGAAAACTGTCAGTGCAGAGCCTGATGTGGGGCTCCAACTCACGAACCGGGAGATCGTGACCTGAGCCGAAACCAAGAGTCGGACACTTAACCCACTGAGCCACCCAGGGACCCCGGCCATCACTTTTTAACATTAATAGCTCCCTCCTGAGGCTCAGCCTTGCCTGACGACCCTTAACAGGTCCCCGGACACACTGAGCGGCAGACACTGTGCATGCGCAGACTGCACCTGTCAGCCCGTCCTGGGCTGCAGGGGGGCACTCAGGCCTGCGGAACTTCAACCTGAACCCAACCACCTGAATGGCCTCAGTGTGGAGGGGGCCCACCCTCCCCACCTCAAAAATCTTTGAGGCAGCAGCTTTAAACTGGCAGTAGTCACTTCCCATGTATG